AGCCAAGGGCAAACTCACCCACGACGAACAGAGGACGGGTACGTGGAGCTGGCACCACACGAGTGCTGTAGTCAAGGCGGGTGGCAGCGGTAAAGTCAGCGACAGCGGCGGTGAGAGCCGAGACAGACGACGGAGAGAAACGAGAGTCGATGACAAGAGTGGCAAGAACACACGAGATAACAGGACGAGCGGCACGGTAGTAGTCAAAGATAGGGGTAGGGGGGACCAGAAGAGAGGTCGGAGGAGGAGGCGGGAGAACGGACACAGGTGGAGAACGACGACGAGAAGAACAAAAGAGGGCAGTGCGGAGGTCGGTAATGGGGGACGAGGGACGAGCACGCGGAGGACAACAGGAGGAGAAGACGGGGACCGAGGAGAAGACCAGACAGCAGGAGAGGCGTCAGGGGGAGGAAACGTAGGGCCAAAGGCCGGAGGAGACTAAGAGCGGACAGGAGAAGAGGAGGGAAGACCAAGGGCTCGCAGGCCACTCACGGGTGGGAACAACTGCTGCGCCAAAGGGAGCTGCTGCTGCCGCTGCTGCTACGGCTGCGGCTGCTGCTACGGCTGCGGCTGCTGCTGCTGCTGCTCCTCCTGCTGCTGCTGCTGCTGCTGCAGAGCAGTCCAACTGCTGCAGCTCCCACCTCTCCCGCTCCAACCGCTCCTGCTCCTCACGCTCACGGTGGCGAGCCGCCTGGAGACGTGTGTCGTGGTGGTGGGGAGGCGCAGTGGTAGTGCCTCCAGCACCAGTCTCCTCAGAACTAGCACCGCCAGCTCTAGGACACACAGACATGCGGTCATGCGGTCATGTGCGTCTCTGTCATGTGTGCGGTCCTCCCGTGCGCAGGAAAAGTGAATGTGTCCCACGGTCCTGAAGGTATCCAACACCCACCAAGTTCCGAGAGAACGAGGGGATGTAGAGACCAGTGAGGAAACCAGAGGGCACACAGGAGGGTGGTAGAACTGCGAGCGACTGCTGGTCCTGAAGTATGATCAGCCAGAGCAACTGAGACCAGAGCAGCAAGAGGCGTGACAGTGGTGTATTCGCAGAAGAAGCACTGGGACGTGCCAGAGTGCAGCGTGAAGGAGAGAGACGCGTCAGCAGTCGTCACAGCCACACTGGTAACTACACAAGCACCTACACTAGTAAAAGGCAAAGGTCTCAAGCTAGGTACACGCAACCCAAGAGATCTATACGTGACAGAATAAACAGCGTCCATAGACATATCAAACACACGGTAACCACTACGAGACAAACCGGGCCAGATCGGTGGAACTGAGTCAGGCCCAAAACGCTCACGGAAAAGGTCGTCGAGGCGGCTGTAGCAGCACAGTGCGGAGTGGTCAGGACGCGAGCAAGTAGTGCCAGCACGAGGTCCGGTCAGGATCCGGTACTGGCAGGGACCGACGTCGTGGCCACCGCGACGAGCCCCCCAGCTGGCTGGGCCGCTGCTGCACCCAACGCCGCCCGAATCACCAGGTCCCCACTACTGCTAAGGGCGCCACTGCTGCTGAGGGCGCCACTGCTGCTAAGGGCGCCACTGCTGCTGAGGGCGCCACTGCTGCTGAGGGCGCCACCGCTGAAACTGCTGCTACTGCTGCTCTTGCTGTTGTAGAACTCTAGTGGACGCCATGGTAAAGACTAGCTGAGCGTAGGAGCGGCAGAACACGGAAACGCCGGGCGAGGAACTACTAACGCTAGAAGCAGCTGGAGCTAGAAACGCCTGGAGCAAAGCATGGCTGGAGCAAGGCATGGCTGGAGCAAGGCAAGGCTGGAGCAATGCACGGCTGAAGCTAGACGAGGAACGGCTGGAGCACGGAGCAAACTGAGCTGGGAGCGAGGAGCGAGAACAGCTAGGAGCACCAGGTGAAACTGGACGAGGAATAGCGGCCTCCAGCCGCGGCGGAACGGTGAACCTACTGACGAAACAGTAGGGAACGGGAAAAACCGAAAGTGAGAAAGCCTGGAAACAGTCTGCTAAGGCTCGAGGCGCGGTAGAGCGTGGCTCGCGCCTCAAGAAAGCTGTCGTGACGCGCGCCTCAGGCTACTCTGGCTGACTGTGGTGCACACGTCACTAGGGAGGGGTCGCGCGTGGGCTGTGGTATGGGGCGCGTGCAGGCAGGGAAAGGGGTGCGCGTGGGCTGTGGTGTGGGGGGGGCGCGCGGGCAGGGTACGGGGCGCCCGCGGACTGTGGTAAGGGGCGCGCGCTGGCTGTAGCAGGGGCGTGCACGGCTGCTGGGCGTGGGCGCATGTGCGACGTACGAGGGGCAGGGCGCACGGGCGACGCGCGGGCTAGGGGCAGTGCGCACGGGCGACGCGACGGGCTGGGGCAGGGCGCACGGGCGACGGGACGGGCTGGGGCAGGGCGCACGGGCTACGCGACGGGCTAGGGCAGGGCGCACGGGCGACGCGACGGGCCGGGGCAGGGGCCACGGGCGACGTGACGGGCTGGGGCAGAGGCGCGATACGGAGGGCGTGGAGGGCTAGGCGCGGAGGGCGCGTTGCGGAGGGCGCAAAGGGCGCGTTACGGAGGGCGCGGAGGGCGCGTTACGGAAGGCGCGTTACGGAGGGCGCGGAGGCGTGCGACGGGAGGCTAGGGCGTGGAGGGCGCTAGGGCGCGTGACGGAGGGCGCGTAAGGCGCGAAGGAGCTCTAGAGCGCGGAGGGCGTGAGGTAGGCAAGGCTAGGCAAGGATTCTAAACCTACTCGTGATACCATCTCAGAAATAGAATGCAACGAAATGATGTTACTAGGATGGCAAGGTAGTACAAATATGAAGCCCTAACTGAGTTGTACTCACTAAGGAGCACCTCACTACAGCCTATAACAAAATCATAACATTTGACAGAATTACATTCAAGCCACTAGCTTGGCTTCAGACGAAAAAAAAAAATATGTTTTTTTAATCCGATTTCAGCCCCAGGTTTTGAACGCAGGCTGAAAACTAGCTGAAATTAGGACCTGGTTTTTGTGATGGCATCTTGTTAGCTTGGTGGTGCTTGCAGATAGCACGTTTCATGCAGTGTGTGAGAGAAACACGAGCCATGGTGAAACTATGCTCATGCAAGCCTCTCTGGCTATTGTCTCGGTGAAATCGTCGAGTTCATAATATTTCGAGTCAATGTTGCTAGCCGAGTCGCCATTGGCATCTGCAATGCATTTGCGTGGATTTCTTAGATTTCCAATTTTGTGCCTTCATTTCCAGTCAGACGTGGCAGGCTGGGTACTCGGATTTACACACGTGGCACGGAGGCACCCGGTGGGTTGAATTGTTTTGTCTGATTTCATTGGACCAGTCGTTTGTGGTGCGTTTGATTTTCAACACTACAACTGCCGATTTTCCATTGATTTTGGTTGAATTCACGCACTGCACTCGGCCGTTCTGATTCACCGTCACTTCCTGGCCGGTCAAGGTCAAACAACAAGCACAACCAAGTTGGTAGTCGTGATAGTGCTGGTACACCATGTGCTAGCACAATTCTGGGCACGCTGAAGTGACCCAAAGCGTTGGGTGCATGAAGCGGATGTCAGTCTGGCGAGAATTAGGGTGTACACCCCGCTCCAGGGCTGGCGTTTCAAAGTAGGCCTCCCTGAATCCAGGACCCCCTCCCCCCCCCCCCCCTTATAATATGGGTGCATATTTTCCAGAAAAACATCACCTTGATAACTCAGTGTTGGGAAGTTATTTAGTCTGATTGTTCAGGGTCGAGAAGTCAGGATCAGAGTAGTAACGCACTGTGCATTATCGAAACTGAACTTTCATGACGTTGTATTTATCGTCGCTAGATGTCGCTAGATTTTATCGTTCGCCGATGTGAGAGTACGACGGCTTATGCCAGCTATGCATGCCTGCCTTTACTTTATTATGCTACTTCTAGCTTAGGTTTATTTTATGCATGCATGAATTGCTTGATTTCCTAGGCTAGGTGCTTTCCTATATTTTATTATAGTTATAGCACCGAGCTAGGTTGCGTACACCGAATTCTGGGCTATTCGGTTGCCACCGAATTGCCTTCTACCGAATTCAGGAGGGCCTGTTCGGGACGCTTCGCGACCCCCAGAACCTTCGCGTAACACCTGGTTACTGCCCCTTGTGTCGAGCTTGTATATAGCCTCGTGTTGTACCCAGGTGATTCATTCAATTCAAATCCTATTTCCCTAGCTAGATCCTAGTTCTCGCAGTTGGTAATCAGAGCTGGTTTACACGCGAAGTTCTTCGACCACTTAAAACCTAGCTTTTAAAACCGCGGGGGCGACGACGGAAGCGCCGATTTCGGGAACGGAAACCAGTTCCGCGCTATTTTTTAACGTCCCCCTCGAACCGGTTTTCGAATCCTCCTCATGTTCTTTGGCGAAAAAGTTGGAATTTCGACCGTCAGATCGATTTTCTTCTCAACGGCTGAGATGAGATGCGAATTTCGATTGAGGAAGAATTACGAGGCGTACGGATCTAGCACTCGTCATTTCTACAGTCGAGTTGGTTCGCAGTAAGTTGACTAGCGCCTAGAATGCAATTTGTTTGGTCGCAAAACTTCCTGGAAATCGCCAAATGGAGGAAAATGGTGATAATTCCGTACGAAAAATTACGGAGTTACGCACCGACGTGGACCAGATGCGAGCGGCATTCAAGCGAATAGAGAATTCGTTAAAGTTATCCTACAAAGATACTTTAACTAAGAATATTACTTCTCGTGATTTTCAAGCATTTAGGGGAGATTTAGAGGCTAAGACAAAGCCCTCATAAATTGTTCAGGTACCTGAGAAGTTGGGCAAACCACTCCGGAGCGTTGAAAAGGGTCGTGCGTTCCAAGGAGTTAATACTCTCTCCCCGCAGCACAGTGTTAAGGTTCTTCATTGCCCACAGGAGAGGCCTACACAGCTGCAACGGCTTAAGGGAAGGTTCCAGGCCAAGACGAAGCTGAATCGGCCTCGGATAAATCCTTCTAACCCTACTCAGTTGGAAACTGATACGGAGTCAGCAGCTTCGAGCGCAGGATCTGGGGATGATCTCTTCGACGTACCCTATGATCCAGTAAGCGAGACCATCTACGGCTACTCGGAGCGGCAACAACCACTACTCCTCGAGGTTCTCTGCAAAGGGCGACGCCTCCAGGCACTGGTGGACAGCGGTGCATCTCATTCCGTGTGCGACTGCGAGACATTGGAGAAAATCGGAGAGAAGGCGGAGGAGGCAAAATTCTCTGCAACAATGGTGGACGGTACGAAGCTTCCCATCCACGGCGAGTCAACACTGCAGCTGCAGATAGGGGCGTTAAGGTGGAAGCCGACGTTGCCGATCACAAACATCAAGGGACTAGATTTCATCTTGGGGCGAGATTTCCTGAAGCGGTTCAACCCCGAGATCGATTGGGTCAACAGTAAAGTGTGCATCTACAATAATGGGAAGCTGCGAAGCTGGACGGATACAGGGGATGTTCCTGAAACGACACTGGCACGGTTCGAACGGACGGTGAACGAGAGTAACACGGGTTACCTAGCACTGGTCATGGCAGCAGCAGAGGAGGAGAAGCCGAGTTCGGAGCTACCTGCAGCAGTAAAGGAGGTCTTGGAGCAGTACAAGGATATAATGCCCGACGACCTACCCGCAGGCGTACCTCCAGCACGCACCCACGAACACGAGATCGTGGAGGAACCAGGTGCGAAACCCATCTCACGTGCACCATACCGACAAAGTTCGACCGAGCTGACAGACATGAAAAAACAGATCGAATATTTACTGGACAGACAACTGATCCGCCCATCCACATCTCCCTACGGTGCACCAGTTCTCTTCACCCCAAAGCCAGACGGCAGTCTACGGATGTGCATCGACTACCGCGCACTAAACAAACAGACAGTTAAAAATAAATACCTTATACCGCGCATAGACGACCTATTGGACCAACTGCGTGGTGCAACGGTCTTCTCGAAGCTGGACCTACGGTCGGGTTACTGGCAGATCAAGATGGCGGACAACTCGATCCACAAGACGGCGTTCCGTACGAGATACGGCTCCTACGAGTACTTAGTGATGCCGTTCGGACTCTGCAACGCACCAGCGACGTTCCAGGCGGAGATGAACCACATCCTACGGCCCCTGCTGGACGAATGCGTAGTAGTGTACCTGGACGATATCCTCATCTACTCCAAGAACATGAAGGAGCACGTGGAGCATCTGCGGAAGGTGTTCGAGATCCTGCGGAAAAATAAGTTCTACGTGAAGCTGTCGAAGAGCGACTTCGCCCTGAAGAAGGTGCAGTTTCTCGGGCACATGGTGAGTGTCGAGGGCGTACACGTGGACCCGCGGAAGATCGAAGCCGTTAAAAAGTGGAAAGTTCCGGAGAACGTGAAGGAGTCCTCGGCTTCGCCAACTACTACAACAGGTTTGTGCCGCAATACGCTAAGATAGCAGCGCCACTTGTCAGAATGTTATTATCTAGCCTGTAGTGGGGTGCTCTATAGCGGGTACAACCCAGTTAGGGTTTGCTATATGTATCCCAACTGCTGCTAGTGAAACCCCTCTCCTTTGCTCTAATTCTCTCTTGCCTAGCTTGGTAAACCCTAGATATGGCTCCTAATCATTCCTCGTTTCTTCACATGGTATTCAGAGCAGGCACCTTCCTGCTGCCTTCCTTAACGGGCCCACCAGTCTGCTTCCGCTGCCTGTCGTCCTGTCGCGTGCCTCGGGCGTGCGGCGCATTTTCCTCGCCGTGCGCCCCGGGCGCGCGGCGTCTTCCTGCCGCGCGCGCGGCCTGCTCTCACGCCGCCTGCACGCCTGCCCCACGTCCGCGCGCGGGCCTGTTCTGCCCGCCCGTACCCTGCCCGTCGCGGCGCCCTGCGAGGCGCCGCTCCTGCTCGTCGCGAAGCCCCTGCGAGACCCGTGCGTCGCCGCTCCTGCTCGTCGCGACGCCTCTGTAGGACCCGCGCGGCGTCGCCTTGCTCGTCGCGACGCCCCTGCGGGACCCGCGCGGCTTTGCCCCTGCTCGTCGCGGCGCCCCCTGAACGCCGCCCCTGCTCGTCGCGGCGCCCCTGGGGCGTCGCCCCTGCTCGTCGCGGCACCCCCTGGGTGCCGTCCCTGCTCGTCGCCCCCCCCCCCCCCCCCCCCCCCCCCCCCCCCCGGCCGCCGCCTCTGCCTCACCTGCGCCCGCGCCTGCTTTGCAACCGTGCGCGGGCCTGCCCTGCACCAGCGACGCCGCCCCTGGAGCAGCCGCCCCTGGCCCCTGGAGCAGCCGCCCCTGGTGCAGCCGCCCCTGGACCTCTGCAGCCGCCCCTGGCCCCTGGAGCAGCCGCCCCTGGAGCAGCCGCCCCTGGTGCAGCCGCCCCTGGACCCCACGACGCTGCCCCTGGACCCCGCGGCGCCGACCCTGCCGCTGCATGCGACGCCGCTCCTGGACCCGGTGCAGCCGCCTTTGTGCTGCCCGTTGCTGCCCGTGCCTGTGCTGCCCGTTGCCGTCCGTTGCTGCCCATGCCTGTGCTGCCCGTTGCTGCCCGTGCCTGTGCTGCCCGTTGCCGCCCGTTGCTGCCCGTGCCTGTGCTGCCCGTTGCCGCCCGTTGCTGCCCGTGCCTGTGCTGCCCGTTGCCGCCCGTTGCTGCCCGTGCCTGTGCTGCCCGTGCCTGTGCTGCCCGTGCCTGTGCTGCCCGTTGCCGCCCGTTGCTGCCCGTGCCTGTGCTGCCCGTTGCCGCCCGTTGCTGCCCGTGCCTGTGCTGCCCGTTGCCGCCCGTTGCTGCCCGTGCCTGTGCTGCCCGTTGCCGCCCGTTGCTGCCCGTGCCTGTGCTGCCCGTTGCCGCCCGTTGCTGCCCGTGCCTGTGCTGCCCGTTGCCGCCCGTTGCTGCCCGTGCCTGTGCTGCCCGTTGCCGCCCGTTGCTGCCCGTGCCTGTGCTGCCCGCTGCCGCCCGTTGCTGCCCGTGCCTGTGCTGCCCGTTGCCGCCCGTTGCTGCCCGTGCCTGTGCTGCCCGTTGCCGCCCGATGCTGCCCATGCCTGTGCTGCCCCTGCTCTTCCCCCCCCCCCCCCCCCTTCTTCGTCTCCCTGCTGCGCGTGTAGCCGTTGAACGGAGGGTATGGGGGTGGCGGGTATGGGGGTGATGGGTGTGTGACCCGTCCCCGGCCCCCCCTCCTCCTCTGTCTCCCACTGCTGCAGCTGCTGCTGAGGGGGGTGGATGTGTGGGAGCCTTCGGTGTGGTGCTTGGGGGGTGGAGTGTGAGTGGAGCCAGGGGTTCAGCAGGGGGTGTGTGAAAGGGGTGTGGGACAGTTGGGGGAGGTTGAGTGGAGGCAGCAGTCTTGTCGTCCGCAGCGCCTGTAGTCCGGGGCCCTTGCCGCTGGTAGCCCAGAGAGCCTGCTGTGCCTGTTGCCCGTGGGTCCGTTGCTCCTGCCGCTCGTCTTAGCCGCGGAGCCTGTTACTCCTGTAGTCCGGGGCCCTTGCCACCGGTAGCCACTGTGCGCGCCGCTCCTGTTGCCCGTGTGTCTGCAGCTTCAGCCGTCGCCTCCCATCTTCTCTCCTCTCACAGTTCCTCCTCCTCCTCACTTGCCCTCTATGATCACCTCTAGCTTTGCTTATAATTGTGAACTCCTGCTGTACCTGCTCATTGTGCTGATTACACCCCACTTTGGCTATGGGGGTGTGTCAGAATGTTATTATCTAGCCTGTAGTGGGGTGCTCTATAGCGGGTACAACCCAGTTAGGGTTTGCTATATGTATCCCATCTGCTGCTAGTGAAACTCTCCTTTGCTCTAATTCTCTCTTGCCTAGCTAGGTAAACCCTAGCTATGGCTCCTAATCATTCCTCGTTTCTTCACACCACTGACCGACCTACTGAAAAAGGATACGCCCTTCAGATGGGATACTCCTCATCTGCAAGCCATGGAACAGCTACAGACAGCACTGACCACAGCGCCAGTACTCATCCTACCGGACCCAGAAAAGGACTACGTAGTTGAAGCGGACGCTAGTGACCAGGCAGTCGGAGCAGTACTGGTGCACGATCACGGGAACGGTTTACAGCCTATCGCCTACCTCAGTAAGAAACTACACGGAGCAGAACTGAACTACCCCATTCACGACAAGGAAGCCTTAGCTATAGTCGTAGCCTTCAAGGCGTGGAGGTGTTACCTAGAGGGAGCCAAGACCACAGTATACACTGACCACTGCAGTCTTAAGTACCTGAAGTCGCAGCCGACGCTCTCACGACAACAGGTGCGGTGGGTGGATTTCTTGGAAACTCACTTCCACTACGACATCATCTACAAACCCGGGCTCCACAACAAAGCTGACGCATTGAGCCGCCCCGGTCATGTAGCAGGCATCCAGCTCGACGGGATGAACCCTCTGCTCAAGGGTCTATTCCAACATGGGTACTCCTTGCATGGCGAGATCGCAACGGCAGAGAAACAGAAGCTGTTACAGTGGGAGAAAGACAAAGCGGTAAGGAAGGGTTCAGGAAAGATTTGGGTACCGAATTACGCCCCGCTACGGCAGATCCTATTAGAGGAATTTCATGACGTACCTTACGCGGGACATTTCGGGAGCAACAAGACGTTAGCGGGAATAGCGAAGTATTACTACTAGCCCCGGATGGCAGCAGACGTGCAGCAGTTCGTCACCTCATGCAACACGTGCCAGCGGATGAAGAGTAGCAAGCAGAAAAAAGCAGGGTTACTTCAACCTCTACCCGTACCGGAGCAGCCATGGCAGGTCGTTAGCCTCGACTTCATCACAGGACTTCCCTCGACCTCACGGGGACACGATTCCATCCTCGTAGTAATCGATAAGTTCTCCAAAATGGGTCATTTCATACCGACCAACGCCACAGCTACAGCTGAAGCAACTGCTCGCCTCTTCTTCGACCGCATCATCACCATCCACGACATCCCCGCTACACTTATCTCAGACAGAGACCCAAAATTCACAAGTAAGTTCTGGAAGGAGCTTATGGGACTGCTGGGGACCAAGCTTGCCATGTCTTCAGCATACCATCCCCAGACTGACGGACAGACGGAGCGACTCAATCAGGTGGTTGAACAGTTACTGCGTACAGCTTGCAAGGACGACATCAGCCACTGGGACACACAGTTACCGACCTTAGAGTTCGCTTACAACAACGCCTCACATGCGGCCACAGGGAAAACCCCTTTCTTCCTGTGTTACGGACGGGAACCACTCACACCACAGCAGCCAACCACACCGGCATGCGTCCAAGCCGCACACGACTTCGTCACCACCATGCAGCAGCTATGGGAGAAGACTCAGCGACGTCTCACCACGATGCAGAACTCCCAGAAGCAGTAGCAGTCGGAGATCAGGTGCTTCTCGACACGCGCAACTTGAACCTGTCTCACCTACCGTCCGAGCTGCGGCCTCGCTTCTGTGGTCCTTTTCTCGTGGAGGCACAGGTGACACCAATTACATTCCGCTTGCGCTTACCAGATACGTGGAAGCTTCACAATGCTTTCCATGTTTAGCTACTGAAACCATACAAGGACCCCAACCAACAGTTCCAGGGACGGCAGCTACCGCCACCTCCACCTGTTCTTGTGCAGGATGAACCAGAGTACGAGATCGAGCGCGTTCTCACTCATCGGTGCCGCGGCGGCAAGACCCTCGAGTTCCTGATACGCTGGAAGGGATACGACCCCACTGAGGACAGTTGGGTTGCAGAAGCTGATATGGGCAACGCACGCCGTGCTCTCAAGGACTATCTTGTCAAGCAGGGTGTATCTCACGCCACCCAGCTTTGAGGGGGGGACGTGTGAGAGTACGACGGCTTATGCCAGCTATGCATGCCTGCCTTTACTTTATTATGCTACTTCTAGCTTAGGTTTATTTTATGCATGCATGAATTGCTTGATTTCCTAGGCTAGGTGCTTTCCTATATTTTATTATAGTTATAGCACCGAGCTAGGTTGCGTACACCGAATTCTGGGCTATTCGGTTGCCACCGAATTGCCTTCTACCGAATTCGGGAAGGTTCTGTTCGGGACGCTTCGCGACTCCCAAAACCTTCGCGTAACACCTGGTTACTGCCCCTTGTGTCGAGCCTATATATAGCCTCGTGTTGTACCCAGGTGATCATTCAATTCAAACCCTCTTTCCTGAGCTAGGTCCTAGATCCTCACAGCCGATACGCTGGGAAATTCGCACCTTTGTTGTGTGTCAGGGTGCATCTGATGTTCGGTGAAAGGGCGAATCTGCAATGTCAAATACATTTTACTTTGATTGGTGAAAACGTTTGTGCTCTTACAGCGCAAATCTTTTGTGATAGGGCGAATTCGTTGCTCCGTACGACACGAATTCACTTTGTCAACGCGAATGTTTAATGTCGCTGGTGCTTTGACCAGTCAAGATGGGTTTGATTCACCAGTAAAAAACTGTGCGCAACCAGAAATCTGAAACAAGAATGAACGGATCAGGCACC